ATCGGTTGAATATAAACAATTTTTTATAAAACCAACGATAAGTGAAAACGAAAAAGAAAAACAAAATTTACACACTATGTAGAACATTATAAAAAATGTTTTACGTGGAATGATTTTTTTTTACTTTTCGTAGAATATTACATATATGCATTCAGTTACTCGAAAAAGTTATTAATAAAACCAGCTTTTCTTACTCATATAAAGCTATAAAAGATTTGTAAGAACTTACTGACGCAGGTTCGTTTATTGCAAAATCAATAACTTTTTTAACATTTTTATGCAACCTATTTTAATATTTGAGTACCGCATTTGTTGTATTTTCAAATATGTAAGAGTCATTAATTAAGTTTATAAAGAGTCGATTCGATGACTATGGTGGTCCAAGATTAATTATCAGCTTAAGTGACTGTCATTGTCTGACGGAACTACAAAAATGGTACGACATCCTTAATCTACCAAACAATACGTAACTCTGCTGTTGTAAAGTCAAACATACACATAATACATTAAATTATTTATAAACCGTAATAAGGTGTTATAAAAATAAAAAATAATTTTTTTTTATCTATAAAATCACTATACATCAGTTGTAGTACCTAATCGAGAAAACAGCAATTGTTCACATCAACAAATACTGTTCATTTGTAGTGTATTTTTAAAATTGGGCACTTTTTTTCATTCTATAACGTAAAAGCCTTCCTAACTTTTTTTTTTAATTCTATCGTAAATAATTAATTGATACCCAGTTAATTATAAATTTAAATAATAACGAAGTATAATTCAAGGTGTACCGAATGGCTGCTAATTATTATTGAAAACGGCATTTTTTTTTTAAATATTGTAAATGGAACGCCAGCCAACAACAGACCTGCTATACAGTTACCTTATCACTTATTAGTACCGATATTCTTTTTTATAGCTGATGCATGACCCATTTTTACCAAAGTCAATGTTCACAATGCAATTGTTATTACGAATAAAACAAAATAAGCAAGGTTACCAAAGTTTACGGTCTTCCCATGGTCACACTGAGTTTGTCGATAGCATACATTATAATAAAAAAATCCTCAATATAACTCATATTGCAGTAACTACTACATTGTTAAACGAGGTTATAGTTATGGAGAAACTATTGGAGAGTTTTGTTAGTTAGTTAGTAGCTCAAATTCTTACAAATATGACGAGACCGTCTGCAAGTGTTTGCATATTTTTACACATGTAGGCGTACCTTGTCGCTCAAGTCATTTGTAGAAATTCAAATTTAAATGTAACCCAAACATTTACTAAAAAAAAAAGTAAAAACCCGAATACCCGCTGTAGCTATATCTTCAATTTTGACGAAAAATAGGTACTTTTAAAGTGTTGAAAACTCTGAGAATAATTCATGATTGAAAGGCGTCGAAATCCAACAAATTTTTTTGAAAAAACTATATGTTTCTTCACGCACAATTAACACCCTGTGTATTAAACGTGTATTGTTTGGAATGTATTGTGTCTATAAGCAATCAATTCAATTTAAATTACCATAAACACCAATGGAATTTATGCAATTCGTTGTTGTTTATGCACATAAATTGACCTGTATAACGAAGGTCTGATCGTGAGTATTAAAAAAATTTGTGCAGATACCCATGTATACCGGAAACGCGAGGAAATTTCCGGAGTTCCGGGGAATCCGAGTCATTGCAAATACTACATTCACGAGGCCACCGAGACGAACCGATAGAATTTAAATATTTTTTCACACATTGCATCGTAATTTCCACCAATAACACCTTCAATATGTACATACGCAGGCAATAGAATTATTCGGTATTTCTTGGACAGAGACAAGACCCTTACTGTAGGTTTTTCATCGAACAATAAAATAATTACTTACGGTTGTAAAAACAGATCGTTTGAGTCAGAATCGGTGCTGAGTTTCCTTTTGTTAATCGCCCACGTTTCGCGCTGCTTCTTCAACTTTTGTTCTAATTTATTCCCGCCTAAGTGTTTATTGATGATTTTTTGCCAGTGAGACGTCACCGAGCTTCCCACCGTTTCCTCGCTTTCATAGCTGCTGCTGTTCGACGTTACGCTACTTTTCCTGCCATCCAAATTGGAAAATCTACCCGCGTCGCTGACAGGATAAGAAACGCTAGATTTTCTACTGTTGGGAGTTGACGCAATGCCGCCAGTCCTTCGTCCTGACCTCTTATTGAAGTCCAGGTCTGCAAACAGCGGCAGGGATGATTTTCGTCCTTCTTTCCTTTCGGCCGCTTTATGTTGGGAATCGTAGCAATCGAAATAGTTCCTGTCGCTCCCTAAACTATGCCTCCTCCTGTTGTAAGAAGGATCAGGAACTGTAAGGAACCCCCTTGACCTGTTTTGTTGTTTTAACCATTGCAGCAGATATTCGTTCTTTTCATTTTCGATATATTCGTCGCCAAAATTCGATTTGCAGTTTTCGTAATGCTTTTCTTCCGGAGTTATCCTTATTGTGGTACTTGGGTTGTTGAAATCGTCTTCAGAAGCGAACGAGTCGACCGCACTAAGGATTTCTTGATCCAACGCGTCTCTGCTATATTTCGAATATTTTCTCAAAAGCCTTAGAACGATCTCGTCGCTCTGGCCTGATATTTTTCTCAAAGGTTTCTCGTTGCTGCAGAGTTTTTCATTTTCTTCTGGGATATTTTTTCTTTTATTACTACTATCGTCGACGACTGAATCGATCGAATACGATTCTATAGTGAATCTCCCGATAACGTTGACATTATTGTTGGACGTAGTATCGGAATGTTCGCTTTTGAAAAAGTTACTATTTTCTAAGACCGTTTCGCGATTATCACAGTTATTCTCTTCAGGGCCGTTTAAACTTTTAGTAGGATCACTTAAAAAGTTACTTTCGAACTTTAACGTAAATTTTTGCAAATGTGAATTATTGTCAGACTCAGGAAACTCAGTCGATGGACTACATTCGTTACCACTATTATTACATTCGAGAATTTTCGGTCCAGCTATCTCCGTTTTACCGTCCAAAATTTGTAATAAATAACTTTCTTGGGCACTTAGGCTTTTCGCTTTTTCTTCACTATCGGTTTCAGGATTTATCAGACCGGAATTGATGACACCGAAAACATTTTTCGACGACTTCACTTCGTTCGTCGAGCATTCCAAGTTGGAACGATTTATCTGTTGCGCAAGAAGACGTTTCTGATCTTCTGTAAGTTCCATAAAACCATTTTCTTGTAATATGAAATGCTTATTTGCAACTTTCTGAAGAAAATCAGATATTGCCGCCCAATGGGCTTCTGTAAGATTACCGTGAAGTTTGATGGAACTTAATTGGAGCGGAATCCAGTGATCGTCTTTTTTACACCATACCACCCCGCAAGTTACCATTTTACCTTATTTTATGGACTTTTGCAATTCACTCAAGTCTCTTGAACTTTTCATACAGGTAACGTGTTGCTTTTGTTTTCGGGAAAAGACAATGCAATTAACAAACTGATAAAATTAACACCGTCGGTAGAACAAAAGGCAGGCAAATTGTAAATCCAGCGACAAAACTAAGTTTTTAATATTTCGTCTAATTGTAAAATCTTATGGTTAAAACGTTTAACGACACTAGTACGACAACACATTATTGTCTTTAAGGGCACATCGGATGCGCTTTATTGTTTTAAACGATTCATTTGGATTTTCATTAGACGCAATGAACTGTTAAAATAGGTAATTACGAGAGTGTAAAACGATATCGAAACACTGTTCACATTGCCTACATTACTCTGACTCTGACCGTGAACTAAACTAACCGATGGCGAGTAAAATAATTCTGACTCTGTGCGACTTACGTCCGCAGCGCATTACTTAAGTATGTACTACCTTTCAGCTTCATCGTCGTCAGTTAAACTTGCAAACAGTTGATGCATGTAAGCACCTAATGTACCTTACAAGGCAACATAAAACAGTACAAACAGTGACAGAACACTCTTCTTTGGCAATTATTATTCTAAGCAATTCCTAATTTAAAAAAAAAAGAGTCATATGAGTCGTCATACATTTGTGAAGACATACAACCGGCTGTTCGCTTCGCCCTTAGCTAGGAATTTGGTTTTCCGATAATTAGGTGCATTTTATAGGACATAAAATAAACAGTATGATGATTGCATGTAATAGAATATCCCTAAGCTAGATTCTCTACAAGCCACTAGTGTATAGGTACCTGCAGATTTTGTAATTTTTTTATTCTAAAAATATTTTGCATTAGAAGGGAGGAATTTTACAATTTGTAATAAGATATTTCTAGATTTATTTCGAGCACCTAAAAGGAATGATATTTGGTTGGTTGGTACTTTACAATCCATCTGTATCTGCTACGTTTCAACCTGTTGTTGTGTTATGAATACAAATGACGAATTATACCAAAAGCATATTATTTAATTAGGGACCACTCATTAAATAGTTATTACTGCACGTACAAGATGAACAATTTTTATCGAAGCATAAGTAACGCAAGTAATAAATACAAAGGCATAAAAAAAAACAGGCACCACAAACGCCAAAGTTACAAATTGAACTTAAAGGCATATTAATTTCTTAATATTATTAGGTACTAAAGGATTGTACCGAAAATTGAGACCGGAACGTTCTGACTGTTTTACTGTATTAATTTTAAACAGATCACCCTGTATACGTATACAAAGGTAAACACATAATATAATCATCCCGATGGGTTATCAAGGACGCGACCATGGTCCAGTGGTCATTCACACTAGCACCATCAGCATCAGCGACTTTCCGAACGTACAGGTAATATTACTAGTACAGGTAGGTACAAACACACGGACAGATTGTCAACCGTATACATATACGTACAAAGATAACTACATATATGTATGTATGTACATGTGTCTGTACGGTACGACGTGTTCAACTTTTTCCATGACTTTATTGGATACTTAAGTTACAGTTACAGCAAGTCCGAATGATAACTGCTCGCCTCTCACTGATTAATAAATTAATCGAAAAAAATTTGTTTTTAAATTGGCATTTAATGTATTATAACATTCTCGAGTGTACTGGTTATTGATTACCTTAAATACCAACATTTTTATTTATTTACTCGACAATGACCTCTTCTTGGTTGTAATGACCAGAGATCATAATAAAATAGGCAAAATGTTTCGAAAATATTAAATGAAAAGTTTTAAGTGCCTCAACTTTCACCAAACAAAACGCATTTTAATTGGTTGTAGTACAAAGTATCAAAGTATGTAAAATTAGCATGTTTTTTGTTTTTCAAAACATTTCCTTTAAAAATCCTGTATGAAAATTTCATGATAGATGTCAAACAAATAGTTATCAAAGTTTTTTTATTTTCAGTACCCATTAACTAACAGTTAAACACTTAATATGATAATAAAATTCACATTTAAATGTTTTAAGTCTAAATAAAAAAATATATATTATTGTAATGTTGTTTATGGTCAGACAGAGTTTTTGCAATTAAAATTAAAGATACAAAAAAAAATTTTAAATACAGGTTTTCTAACACAATGATATTTTCAAAAACAGCACCCCCTTAAATATATGCATGTGCCTATATCAACAAATGCAGTGACGGTTTCTTTAAATATTTAACTATTAACTATTAATAATACCTAAAAAACAAAAGGTTAAAATATTTTACTAATTTGTTTCGTTATCTGCTTTTAGGATGTTCCAAATTTTCATCCAGTTATTCATCTGTACGATAAGCAGCCAGTTCTAATATCGTATCTAAATAAACAGTGATGACTCACTTTTCAAAAGAAATCATTTTTCAAACTAATTAAGAAATCCCCGTAACCCTAATAACAATATTGCTTTGATTGGATATGAAGTTCACAGTGCCATTTCGGTATTGTTTATAGGATGTAGCAAATCAAAAAATGGAAACAGATCAATAAATGCTTCTCGATCAAACCTTATCAGTCCAGCTTATTTTTTAATTTTATTCTACAATTATACTTCTATGCATGTAATTGCCTGTCGTCAAAACTTCACGCCTGACCGTCGTATTCAACGTAGACAGATCTACCTGTTAATAAAGCAACCTGTAATTTCGGTGAGAGTTGTTTGTAAATTTGAATTATCTAGTTCAGTATTCGATTTTAACAAAAATGAATCCGCACGCCGTTCGCAGAAATTGTTAACTTTTTTTTCTCTTCATCGCATACTTTAGAAGGTCGTACGGTTAAGACCGTTATTTTAACAATAATTAAGGTCAGGAGAAGGCTCACTTGGGTGTTAACGAGCACCTACAGAAATTTACGTTGCACGGATATACAATTGTGCACGTATATAGGGTTGTAATGTATCTATCTAGTTTATTTTTCTAAACAGTAAACTAAATAGATACAAGTCATAATATTTGAGAAAGCTAACGAAATTTAAGTAGTCCGTCATTTTAAGAGTATTTCGTGTCGAATAAGAACCACCCTGTGTACATATTTATCTTTCGCAAAAGAGAAAAAATAAATCGGCAAACAGCAGCAAAAGAACAATAATAATAATTGAAATTATTTATATATAGGTAGGTATGTGAACCGCGTACACAAGCACATAGATGGATACATGAAAAACACTTTTATTTTTTGTGTGCAAGAGTCGGACCACAAACTGTTAATAAATTGCTCGTTAAAGTGGAGATAATGTGCACTTGTGTACATCGCGAAGAAATCAGATACGATGTTCTTTTTTTTGCCGTGCTGCTTCTCGCGAGATACATGTCCGGAGCGCGCTTGCCTGGCGCCACTCGTTTGTCTCTGCGGGGCATATTATTATTATACCAGAGCTATTCAACAATTTCGATCTGGACCTGAAACTATGACGATATAACGGTTAAATTCCAAAAAAAGGTGCTGCATCTACTACTGTAAAAATAATTATAACCTGAACTTTCTTTTATTTGGTGATTAGTGTTTATTATTTTCCGTTTTCTTCAGTTTTCACTGGTTAGGTACAAAATATCTATTATATAAGTAAAATAATAAATAGCAAACCCTTGAAACAACCATAAATATTTTTTTAAGTAACTGTCTCACAGCTAAGCTCCATAAGCATATAAAATCCAAAACGAATTTAAAAAATGCAAAAAAATAAAATGTTTAGTGCATATTTTTACTTCACAAGTAAGTAGAATCAACGATAACATTAAAAACTCCTCAGTAAACTTGAAAAAGAATTCTCAGTCTTATATCGCATAAATTATCAAAAAAATGCGTTTCTTTTTCTCGGAAACGATAAGTTCTTCTTATTACTTTAAAAGTAATAAACTGCACATATTTCATGGGAAAGTGGTCCATTGTAACGTTTACCGGTCGTTCGGGAATTTTCCTACCGATGCATCGCCTATAATTCCTTTTTTAAGTATCTTAGTTTTTATTATAAATTGGTTTATATAGATACATGCACTACAGATCCTTGTAAGACATTTCCTTTCATTAATATAAATATACATGGAATGAAAGTGGGAATTTAAAATAATATAATTTCATTTTATCTGAAATACTTATCGAATAAAATCAGAAGGGTTTTTAACTTCTGGTTCAATAAATTTTGCGGCAATTAATTTAAGAAGGTCAAATAAAAGGAAAAACCAAAAGATAAAAAACAATTTTGTTACTTTTTTACGGTGTAACGGTATTTCTTTTTAATGCTTTGGTTAATTAANGGGAATTTTAGCAAAAAAAAATATTTATGAGCGAATTAAGTACCTAAAACACTTTTATTCCAAATTGTACACACCTTTTATTATAAATTTTTTCGGGCACCTAATATGCTTAAATTCCTACGGAATTGTTCTTACAAACACTATAGCAGTTCATAGTTGTTTCATAAAATTAAAAAGACGTGTGTATATCCATACACAATTTAACAAAGATCTAACTTAAAACTATTATTAAAAAACTTACGGTTCTGCTTCAATACTCTTCAATTTGGCTACATAATTTGAAGGTATATATCCTTCTTGTCTGGTTCTTTTGCTTCTAGCCAACCACCAATCACCTTGAGTATCATTAAGTATTTCTAAATGTTCACCTTTACGAAAACTTAAATCTTCATCAGTTCTAGCATCATAGTCATATAGAGCAACAAAAATTTTTGCATTTGGAGGGTCAGATTCAGAAGGGTTAACAACTACTGGCCTAATTGTTTCTTGAGGAGGAGTGGGCATAGGATTATTTGGAACACTAATAGCATCTTCAATTGCGTTCACTCCCAGTCTAACGTTATTTTCTATTTCTCGCCTATCTGACGAAGTACTAAAACAATTGCCCATTTTAAGATAATTTGCACCGTTCTTTAACCAAAATTAATTCAGTCTTAAAACTTTAAAGTCAAAAGAAAACAGAAACACTGCATTGTAGGGATACTCTGGACAACCAAAACTTATTCGGCGAAAAGGAAAATAAGCCATAGCAATACTTAATTATAAATATAGTTGTTTTAAATACGTTTAATTCTTACAAACACAATAAATACTATTAAAAAAAGTAATATTAAAATAAACTCCCGAAATGAAGAAAACTGACATTTAACTGTTTTAATTGTCAATTTGTTGTCAATTCATGAGTCATTTCTATGATACGTATCTGTGTCTCCATATTCACTGTAGTAACTCCAAAACTAAAAATCATCGTTTATTAAATTAACAGTTCCGGAAATGCTTTTATTGTGAATTTAACTCATAAATTAAATTCAGCATTACCATGAGAAAATAAAACACTGAAATTCCAAAGATGCAATTTGTTCAGTGGTATTTACGTGAATCAGGGAATAAATAAAAATTATATAAATTATAGATCCTAAACTATGGTTGTATCAATGATGTGTACAACAGAAATGTCAAAACCTTATCTATGGTCAGAACCGTCAAAACTTTTTAAAACAAGAAAAACTTGATAAGTCATCTATGTAAGTCATTTTCTTTGGTCGTTACTATTACTTATTATCTTTTTTCACAATCTACAGAGATATCTGTTCAAAATCTTTAATTTAATATTTTATTTGTAATTGACTAATTTTCATACTTGTTGGGTGTTATTCAACTCAGAGTACTAAAATGTCAACGTTTAAAGGTAAGTCTTTCATTCTAATCTATTCTAATTAAATGCTTTAAAAGCCGGATAACCTCATACGGTATTTATTGTATTTTAGTTAAAGTAAAATGGGGTAAAGAGACTTATCCTGATATTGAAGTGAATACTGCAGAATCGCCGTTGCTATTTAAAGCCCAGTTATTTGCTTTGACTGGTGTTCAACCTGAAAGACAGAAGGTGATGTTAAAAGGGGTAACATTGAAGGATACAGATTGGGATAACTTTAAGCTAAAAGATGTAAGTGTATGACTGATGATTGGTTTGATATTTCATTTTGTTTACGTAAAGGGAGCAGCTGTTCTTTTGATGGGAAGCAAGGAAGAGGACGTTCCTAAGGAGCCAGTAGAGAAAACCCTTTTTGTTGAGGATATGAATGAGAGTGAACTAGCAACAGCTGTAAGTACTTAGAAACATTTATTTGTGAAACTACTTCTTATTTTAAAATTTTAGTTAGATTTACCAGCAGGACTGACTAATTTAGGAAATACTTGTTACATGAATGCCACAGTGCAATGTTTAAAAACTGTCCCTGAGCTTAGGGAAGCATTACAATCATTTTCTGGAGGTTAGTATCCAAATACATATGCATATGTTTTGATAATCTAGACTACTGTTTATTTTCTCTATTTTAGGTGTCACTACTGCCGGAGGAGTTATTCCTGCTCAAAGTATAACAGCAGCATTAAGGGATCTTTATTCAAGTATGGACAAAGGCAGTACAATTCCACCAATAGTTTTATTACAAGTTTTGCACATGGCATTTCCAAGATTTGCAGAAAAAAGTCAGCATGGTGGTTTTCAACAGCAGGTAAGCACCACATTTCTTTTGGAGAGAACCATATGAAAAGTTTAATATGCAATATTTCAATTCCAGGATGCTAATGAATGCTGGACTGAATTAGTTAGAATGTTGCAACAAAAACTGCCTGCTAAAAATAACGAAGATGGTACAGAAGCACAAAAATTTAAGTTAGTCAAAATCTAGGGTAGTTGTGTTAATAATTGAAAAACTTTTTGCTTGATGTATATTGCAGATCATTCATAGACCAATATTTTGGGGGGACCTTTGATGTTGAATGGAAGTGTAACGAGAGTGAAGAGGAGCCTATTAACAAATGCAAAGAGCAATTTTTACAGCTTAGCTGTTTTGTATCTCAGACTACTGTTAGGTACATGCACCTTGGGCTAAAATCTGTGAGTGTTGTGTTAGATTTAATGTATTAGTGATATTTAATAAGTGTTACTTTATTTTTAGAGAATGCAAGAACAAGTAACAAAAATGTCACCCATTTTAAATCGTGATGCTGTATACACAAAGACGGTGAGCAAAACACAGCTACTTTCTCTTGTAATATATCATTTTCTTTTCATTTGTTTTCAGTCTAAAATAAGTAGATTACCGGCGTATTTAACGATACAATTTGTAAGGTTTTACTACAAAGAGAAAGAGTCGATAAACGCAAAAATCTTAAAAGACGTAAAATTTCCATTAGATTACGACGCTTTTGATCTTTGTTCCCCTGAGTTGCAAGATAAATTGACTCCAATGAGGACAAAATTTAAGGTAAATACAAAGCAGTAAAGCCTTAAGGTTCATGGAACGTTTAAAGATTTTTATAATTGTAGCAATGGGAAGATGCTCAAGTTGAAGCATCTACTAAGGGAAAGTCAAAGGGAGATGGAAAACCCAAAACCAAAGGAAAAGCTTTGCCATATTGGTTTGAAGACGGTGTGTATCTGTATTAGTTATTACCATACCGTGATTAGTTTTTCTTTTGTGTATTGTTCAACTCCTGTATTATGTTCTAACAGATTTGGGAAGCAATAACAGTGGATATTACACGTTGCAAGCTGTATTGACTCACAAAGGCAGGTCGTCATCTAGTGGTCACTATGTTGCATGGGTTAAACAATCCAATGATATATGGATCAAATGTGACGATGACAATGTATCTGCCGTCTCGTCTGATGACATCGTTAAATTATCAGGTGGGGGTGACTGGCACTGTGCTTACGTTTTATTGTATGGGCCAAGAATTCTTGAAGAACCTGTTGATGAAGCCAATGAAGGGGTTACAGATCAGTAAATCAAAATAAAAAAAATTGGATGAGCAACCAGTGATACAAATAAAGCATTTTCGATTTGCTTTGTATAATTGAACATATACGTGTTTTATTTTTTTTTTTTATATTAAATGGAAACTGAATGCTTTTCATGCTAAATAAATAAATTAATTAATATAAAAATGCGTTTTACGATTAGATTAGATCATTTGACTACACTCAATAATAACAGTATTACAACGGCTAATGTTAATGAAAATTTTTTAATTTTCCGTCTTTAAAAAATAATTTTCTTGTAACAATATATTATTAAAACAATTTATAATTAAATATATATATGTACATATCTTCAATTGCGTTCNCGGTCAATTATATATCTATATGGGTTGAATTAGTTTTTTATCAACTAATTAAATTATATGTTTGGTAATACAAACAATAAGTCATATGTGTGCTATTGACAATATAAAATGATTATTTTAAGTAAAACTGAATGTATAAATGGACGGTTTGACTTATAAATTATTTGTAACTTTTCTTAAAGTCACAATTTCATCAATTCGGGTAGTTTTCTTCACATCTCTGTGCTTGTCCTGAATTAAAAGAAAGTTATTTAAGAGTTTCTTAAAATCTATTGTTTTAAATCTCTTTGGTAATGGTTTGGCTTCTAAAGAATTTCTAAAACGATAAATAGCAAATGTATAACACAAAATATATGAAAATTGTACATTTTTATTACTTGCGTTTGCCATAATCCAAATATAAACTGGGGATGCAACTCAGCCGTGTTTTTAGCATATGAAATGCTTCTGTTTGAGGTAATAACATCAATAACCCATATAAAGCTCTTATCAAGTCTTCATCACACGGTATTTCTAGCAACTGTAGCCTTAGATCTACAAACGTTTTTCCGTTTTTCGTGTATTAACAAAATTATAATATGTATATTACATAATGCCAATAACATACTAGATTTTACCTACATGCAAATATTGGAGATTCAATAAGTTGAACTAGTTTATCAATTTCTGTTAAGAAATCAACAGAAATTTCTAAACAGCCTCTGTATTTTATTAAGGAATTTGAAAATAAAGAGGCCTTTGTAAAGTAAAGCAAAAAAAACGAAAAGGATACAAAACTTTTATAAGTTCACAAGCGTGCCAGTAACACTGTGTTAACAAACATAGGGCTACCGTAGCCACCGGATTGTGACACCAAGTATCATACAAACAACAAAATAACAGGCACGATTCCTGAAATGTGTAACACAACTATAAACGTAAAAAGTCAATATTCAATACTAATTTACTTCGTCCTCCAGGTCTTTTAATTTATTTCGCAATTCAAAAAGTTCCGGCGAAGTGAGTAAAATCATGCTAAGAGTTTCCACCATGACGCTGGCAAAATTTAAATTTGTTTCTCGCAATAAAATCTTTGCTAAAGTGCAATAAATGTCTTCAGCGTTTAGTAACACACACAACTGCCTGCAAAATATTAACGTTATTATTTTTAAGTTGAAATTTACAGTTAAATAAAAAAATACCTAATAATAAAGGATCCTCTATCGTTTAATAAACATTTGTCTTTATTGAAAGATTCCAACAGGGTGGTCACGAATTTTAAATAATAAGGATTTGCATTTTCCAAGTCGCCAAAAGACTTTCTGGAAATACCTAAATTACGTCTTTTTTAATTTGAACAATTTTCAATGGCCATTACTCACTATCTTTTTTTTCTCTGGCCGGAGAAGAAATGATTTCTGCGATTACTACCAAGCACTGCTGCACCACTTCATCAGATGGATCAGACAAAATTTTTTGCAAAGAAGGAAAAATTACATCAAAATAATAAAACATCTAAAACATTTCATGTTTTATGACATTGTAATTGCTTCACAATACTTCAACATTACCTTGTCTGGTAATTTCACAAAAAGATGATAAATCCATCTTAACACAGCCACTTTAGTTTGAACAGAGTGATGCAAAACATGCTGAGTTAGAACATCAACAACAGATGCTAGATCTAATTCATTTGTGATCAATTCAGCTGCCAAAATTAAAAGAAACATGTATTAATATTGGAACAATAAAAAAAAATACATTTACCTGAATTTTTTTTGGGAAAATTAAACTCATCTTCCACTTGGAGAGCCACAAGTTTCATTAAATTGTGGTTTACAGTTGTAGCTGTTTCTTTAATGTCTGTCACTAAATTAAAGTATTTATACGAAAATATTAAGCATGACAAAATCTTTTTGGTGCAACTTTCTAATAAGCCTATTAGCAGCAGAATTAATAAAAGATAACAGAGGTCTTATTTAAAGGATACTTCTTCGAGAATCCGCTTCATATGCTAAGCAGGGGAGAATTGCAGTCAAAATACCTGACATAAAGGGTAACATTGTGGGGCCTGATAACTGCACAAACTCCTTAATCCATGTTATTGCAGTGAACTAAAATAAATATAAGTTTATAACAATAACTAAAATAAAATGTTTATGGTATGTATTTATTATTCATACTTGTAAAATGTCATTATTCCTTTCTTGAGCATGATTAATTAAAATATTGACCATGTTTGAAAAGTCAACTCTAGTAGGATCTCGTTTGATGCTTCTGAGAAATTCACCTAGTACACTGTCACACATTTTCTTTACTTCAAGCATAGGGTCATCTAATATTCGAAAGAGACCATCTAATATCTCTGGCAAATACATGGCAAGGTCAATGTCAGGTACTGCATCTAATACTGATATCCAGGAGATAATAAACTGACGAGAAAAGGAATGTTTACTATAAATTCTTTCCCTTAATAGTGGCATAAAATTTTCCAAATCAAAGGACCTGTTTTCTGTTACAATATCCTGTGAAAAGACATATACATATATATATATATATCTATATAATATTAAAATGAACTGAGTAAATAAATAAGTACCTTCATAAGTCTATCTAAGAGTTCAGAAGCATTTTTAACACTTTGTTCAGGATCAGTAGCTATTTTACTCAGTGCACTAAATACTAAAGTAAAATGGGGAATAATTGCACCTCTTGCAACCTTTACTACATTATACAAAGATTCACATGCATAATATCTTACTCTTGAATCACTATCATTAAAACAAGCAACAATTGGAACCACCAAATCTTTTATATATAATGAAGTGTCCTAAAACAAATTTGTGTTAAAAATATATTAAAAAAAGTATTTTTATTTTACTTTTCCTAATGCTACAGCTACAGCTGCTAATCCAATTAAACCACCTTTTTTTGTATGAGGGTTCTGAGAGTTAGCAAAGTCTTTACCTAGAATTTGTATAATTTTAACAATCTTTGCCGAATTATCAGCAGCAGCACATTCTTTTACTGTTCTGTAAGTTAATAAAACACAATATTTATTAATATTCTAGTGTTATAGTAATAAAGAATGTGTGTAAATTAATACTATTAACTAGCCTTTCTATTTCCAAAGCAGCTGTTTTCCTTTTCTCATAAATTTTATCATTTAAAGCTCGAACACATGCTGCACTTAGGGGAGCATAATCTTTGTCTGTCATCCTTATAATTATATTCCAAACTTACAAATAGGCTTAGCTTTATAATTATAAGCCACTTCTGAAAACAGGAGGTAACATAAAAACGTTGAATAAGCAAAATAATAATATTGTACTACTACTTCACACCATTAATTGTTAGGATGATTTATCACATAAACGAACCCAATATAAATAATTTAAATAAAAGCATACAACTGCATTTTATTTGATATTTATTAATATCAATACTATTTCTGAAGTGCAATAATCTAACCCATAGATAAGATCTAGTCTCAAGCCCATGGGGTGTAAACTCTCCTGTCAAAAATAGTGCAGACCAAATCTGGCAGATGGCAGTGTTTGCATAAGAATCATAGCATACGAAAAAAAAAAAGAGCCTCAACTTTATCCATGTCCATAGATAAGATCCATCATAGATATGATGTCCATACTTTATCTGTGATATATATCTATGTTCTCAACCATAGATTTCAATAATTGATTCGTGAAGTAGTGGCTATATAGCAGTTAGATACAGCATATTATTCAAATAAATAAAAATAAATAATATCAGAACCTTTTTAATTTAATTAAATTAACCGCTTCTTTTATGTTGTAGTAGCTCACAACACAGGTTCATTGATTTAACGAAAAACATTTAAAATCATCTCTTTATTTTTTGTGCAGTTTTCAGTGGAATTTTCTGATAAGAAATATAATGATCACTAATTTTCTTAGATGATCTTAATCTATGAATAATCTACAGTGGCGCCATCATTAAATCATGTCAGTCGATCACAGTTTTTGTGATCGTTAATATTTTGGTGGCAAAATTAATAGTTATTTGCCAGAAAATCAAAAAAACAGCCCTTTTTTTAAAAACATGAGTGCACAGTGCATTTGAATTTGACCATAACGACATTGAGATCGTATTTTAATATTGTGTTTTTAATGTGAAAGAAGAACGAGAATGGTTGTTTGTGTGTGTAGTGCTTTGCAGAATTAAGTATTGGGGATTAAAATTACAAATTAGTGAATTAGAACACCAACAAATTGACAGGATTTAATTTGTTTTATGCTTTATATTTTAAAGTAATGGCGGTATTGAAGAAACGACTGAAAACATCATAAATTAAAAACTGTATTTTCGTGTATTACAATTATCATGGCTAGTTATTTTTTTTAAATCCGATATTACTATTAACGTGTTTCATTTTTTTGTAACTTTGTTAAATGAGTGGTGAAGGAAAGACTTCTTATTGCGGAATCGGATATATAGCAGGAAATGTCCGAAAATATTGATGAACTTCGGGTAAACCTGTTGAAAATATGTCTGTTCAAATTTGTTTACATATATTATTACAGAATATGCTTATCACCTTTCGTGTGTCAGAATTGCAGATGTTATTAGGATTCGCTGGAAGAAACAAATCTGGTAGAAAGACTGAATTACAACAAAGAGCTTTGGAATTATTACGCATCAGGTCACATCCTATTCAGCAGAAAATAAAAGACTTGTACAAGTCCATACAGTAAGTTTTAAAAAATGGATAATTTTAAATGTATTTTACATTATTGCAATTTTTAAGTTTATAAATTTTTTAGACAAAGCGGTGGACTCAACACTCCTGCTTCAACTCAATCCTCAGGTGGAAATAAAGACATCCCAGTGCCATCATTAAGTCCCAGTATGCCCCAACCACAAGGAAATGTACCTCGTGGTACATCCGGTGTACTTTCATCATACGTTGATACTAGAACGTTGGCAGTAGGTTTTTAATTGTACAGTTAATTGTAAATTGTAAATAATAGTTGCCGGATGGTAGATGGTTTTATATATATTAATTAAATGTTACATGTTTCTCATTTGTTGTGAAATAAGATTTTTAACATTATTTTAGGGTCGTCCAGCTCCCATGTACACACAAAACGTTTATCAGCAGTATCAGCAACAGTATTCACAAAAGCCACAGCCGCCATTATCAAACAGTTATCCCATTCACCCAGATGTTAAATTCAAAAGATTACCATTTTTTGATGTTTTGGCCGACCTTTTAAAGCCGTCGTCCTTAGTGCCTCAGAATAATCAGAGACTTCAGGAGGGGACGTTTTACTTTCATTTGACGCCTCAGCAAGCTACGGATATTGCCAGTTCACGAGACATGCGACCAGGTTCAAAATGTGAATATGTTAAGCAAGTACAACTTAGGTTTTGTCTTCTTGAGACTACATGTGAACAAGAAGATTGTTTCCCTCCCAATGTTGTAGTGAAAGTTAATAATAAGTTATGTCCCTTACCTGTAAGTATGGTATAGCGCTTTTTATGTTTTTTAAATCATTTTTAAACGTAAAAAAAATATAGAATCCAATACCCACCAACAAACCTGGCGTGGAGCCTAAACGACCTCCCCGTCCAGTTAATATAACCCCGCTGGTGAAACTGAGCCCAACAGTGGCCAATAACATTCACGTGTCATGGGCGGCAGATTATGGTCGAGGTTACGCCATCACCGTTGCTCTCGTTCACAAAAGGAACTCGAGTGATTTGCTACAGCGACTCAAGAGTCGTGGAGTGAAACATTCAGATCATACTCGAGGCTTAAGTATGTAATGAATCTGTTTAAAATACAGTCAAAAATCATTATGTTTATTTCAGTAAAGGAAAAACTTAATGAAGATGCTAATAGTGAAATCGCAACTACTTGTCTCCGCGTATCCTTGATGTGTCCCCTTGGAAAGATGCGAATGACAACGCCTTGTCGGTCAATTACTTGCCAGCATCTCCAATGTTTCGATGCTTCGCTCTTTCTTCAGATGAATGAACGAAAACCCACTTGGAATTGCCCGGTGTGTGATAAGCCAGCCCTTTACGATAACCTTGTTATTGATGGGTAAAAAAATTAGTTTAACTAGTTTTCGGTTTGTCTAATACTTATTACTTTTCTGGATAGGTACTTCCAAGACGTATTAGTATCGTCACTTTTATCTTCTGAAACCAAGGAAATACAGCTCAACAGAGATGGTTCGTGGAGTGTTCAAACTGTAGAGAAGAAAAGCATCCAAAAGGTTAATAAAATACCCGACGACTCTATAGAAATAATCGGAGACGATGTTGGTAAGTAATTCCACTTTGCCGAAATGAAAAATAAAACGTACTATTCTCTGTTTGCTGCTGTAGAAGTTGTTATAAGTTCGGGTGATACAGGAACATCAAACGGCCCCACAAACAATCAAATAGAATGTACTAGTACAGATAAAGCAAAGGAAGAAACTCCAAAGAAGAATGATGTAGTTGATCTTACAGTCTCTGATAGTGACGATGATGAGCCATTGGCTAAAAGAAGAGCCGTCAACCCTAAACCTGATTCGACCATTAAATTTTCCGGTATGTTGGAACAGTATTTATTGTAGGTGCTTCAAAAGAAAAGTGTTTGTTACATTTATTTTTCAAACAGACACCAGTGAAAAATGAACTCTTGATGTAAATCGTAATAATTATTGTTTAGATGCAATATGTAACTAATTTTTAATTGACTTTTCTAAGGTAGTATTATTGTGTAATTTTGGTAAGTTAAATTTTCCATGAACCTTTTGTTTACTTTATGAGTGTGTAGGCACCTAAAAAATTGAAATAAGTATTTTTTTAATAAAAGATATAAAAAGGTATACCAAATCTGGCAGATGGCAGTGTTTGCATAAGAATCANTTGGAGGCTTTTGTATTTATTTTTTACTAATTTTTAGTTTCAAAAATTTTTTTAAAGGCCGTTTGTGTCTTAATAACATGTAAATAACCATGTGGGCTTGAAAAGTTAGTTATTTCAAAATAACAGGCAAGACACTTGAATCATTTTTAATTAAATGTATGTATGTATGTATGTATGTATGTGTAAATGTGTAAGAACACACTCTATAATTTATCATTAATTAAGTAATGAGCTTAATTTTGATACAAAATAATTCTCATGGCATGTACTTAAATTTTTAGCAAAACATCCCTGCTTTTATCTGTATATGTTGCACATTGTGACTTATTTTTTTTGACCGTGCTGGGACTCGATCTTCCTTCATAAGAGGGCACGGTTGATGCGAGCCACCGTTTCTCGTTTAAGCTATTTAGAAACCACAATAACGAGATGAATTATTTGGTAGAAATAGTAGCAAATTGTTAATTTTTCAATTAGATACTTGTAAACTTTTTATAGGGTATGTGAAAATTGTTAACTTATGGATAATTTTTAAAATGGTTCTTAATTTACTTGCTTAATTGGTTTTTTGTTTCTAGATACGGCTAGTGTGTCATCTAGCAGTAACCATTCAAGGGTGACAACGAGTGGAGGTCCAGCTTCGGTATCTAGTTCCGGTTATCCTGCCAGTCCTGCTGTAATAAATTTAGATAGCCCTTCTCCCCCTCGTTCCCCACAGTCAAACCCTTCTCAACAGAATGTGACTCAACAGCAACCTTCGTGTATGATGATTGGTACCAACGGCACTACAGTGCCGGACTCCACCCCCCTTTTTAGCCCCGGCTCCATGCCGTTTCTTGATCTAGAAAGTGAAACAAATAGTTTAACTTATAATTATTAATTGATAACGTTTTTGAAAGTTCTGAATATTTCTTTTGTATCCAGCCTGTTTTGTATTTTTTTTTGGTTGTTGTTTTCTTATTCACAAAAAAAATACAAATGATTTAAGGAAACGGTCTACATTGTAAAAGTTGAGGTGGAAACTTATAGGAATCTCAGCTTGTTTAAGAGCTTTATGAGAGCATATACCACTGTATTAAAAATGTAGATTTTTCGGGGAGATTATATAAAGTACATTATCTGTAGTACTAAGGATTATTTTTTTTATATTAAGGAAAAAAGGATACAAAATGCGTTTTATATGAGAATATAAGTATGTTATAATTAATACCAACAAATAAATATTTTCAAAAGGCAGTCTTTTTTTCTGTTCAGTACCAAATGTCATGGAAGTGTAAAAATATTAAGTGATAATGAAAACCTACCCTAAAAAACAAGTCATTATTAATAGATGGCGCTATCTCTTTTCTTATTCTCAGAAGTGTAAACTAGTTTCTGATGCTCAAGTTTTTAATACTTAACTCACTTGATCCTTCTGTGGTCAGAGAGGAAGTGATGAATGATTACAATCTAGACAATTCTAGAAGTCTGCGGATCTTTGTATACGTTACGACTTGTTAGCGGACGAATTTGTTCTGATCCTTTTGCCTTGAATGCCACAGTCGGATCATTTTTATTGACTCAGAAGTTATTGAAGTTTGAATAGGGCTGATAGAATATAATGAATAAAGCCTTCAATAGTCCGCTCATTATTTTTGATAACTTTTAATTTCCGAAATTGTAATGGTGAACCAGTAAACTATACAAGAACTCCACCAATAGTAATTAGCTGAAAAAAAACAAAATAATATGTAAACTTTGTTTCTACTTTTGTGCTATTAGCTAAAACCTGTATTAATTCCTAAAAAATATTAGTTGAAAAAGAAATTGTAGAACATTTCTAAATACATTACTATTTGTGATTATGATAGCAAAATGTCCTTTCTGTAAATTTAATATTAGGGGATATTTTTTTATTTCTCTAAATTAGGTAGGTACTTAAAAATTCCTAATTAATATTAATATTTAACATCTTTGTTTATTACTGGATTACTGTGACATTATCGCCCTTTACGTTACTATTATAATTTTTTGTATGCTGAATAAAACAGTGTTATTAATCATTATATTAGAGGAAGATTACAATTAAAAAGGTCCTTATACTACAATCTGATGAATAAAATAGGAAAATCAATGTTAGTGTCCATATTCTATTTTGTTCAATACCTGCAAATCCTGTGTATTTTTATTTTATTAATAATGGAAGAAAGCAAAATGCCTTTTTAAATTATAAACATTATTTTTGTTTTAGTGCCTTTTTATATGTTTCTTAACAAATATACAAAATACAATTAATTGAGGTTAATTTCACTAAATTGTTTACTTTTTTTTTTTGGCTATTGTGAAATTTCTTTGATAGTTCCCACAGTTTTTGTAAGATGGCAGGTCATGTCCGACATATTTAAAAATCAATTATATAATTATCATTTCACAATTACAGACAAATATTAATGTGCATCATGAACAAAAAGCATGAGCAAATTAAGAATGTAAGTGAATAGACTATATTTTTCTAGAATTTCATGATAATTTATTAAATAATATTAATACAGCATATAGGCTTCTTTACATACAGCAAACGGATGTAATATACAGGGTGATTGAGGATAATTTTCAATTTTTGAAATAATTTATTTTTCAAGTTTGAAAATTACAGAATGTGATATGAAATATGACTACAAAATATTTAATCACAATAAAAAAGTCTTTTGACTTATTAGAATTTATTATATATTGTAATATCTTCTTTTTTAAATTAAATTAATACATATATTACGTTCGCTGATTTTCTACGGAGTTTTCGAAATTATCAGCGATATTATTCGGACTATCAATTAAATTATTTTTGCAAACAGTGGCACATTTTTCTTCAATTTTCCGCTGTACGGGATCGCAGGATAACGAAGGGAAGACAAATGCATCCCATTTATTATCAATCTGTTTATCTAACGATTTAAACTCGTCCAATAATATTTTTCTATATACATCAAATTGCTTCTTCATCTGAGAATTGATATATTTCGTTTTGTTTTTAATTAACAATTTCATGTCGTTTACCAAAAGATTAACGTTTGACGGTTCTGTGTTATTGTTACTGTTATTGGTATTTTTTTTGTCGTTATTTTGATTGTTGTAAGCCACGACGGTGGCGGAGGTTTTTTCATTTTCCGAATTTTCTTTTCGTGACTTATTCGCTACAGCCGCTTTACTCGACCTGGGCTTATTACTGTCGCATTCGGCTTTACCCTCGTTCGCAAAAGCAATCTTATTTACTGCTACATTATGGGCTTTCCAGTTGCTGAGGGGTTGTAACAAATAGCGAAAATCGTAAATATAAATCATCCCCTCGTCCGTGCCGAGGACAATGTAATCGTCGCGCGTTGATATATCTATTGCACTGAGCGGTTGTCGAAGATTACCCCTAAAAACGCATTCCTTAATGTTTAAATCGTGGACGCAAAATTTCCTATCAAATCCAGCCGATATAAACAAGTCGTTCTGTCTTCCTAAAGCAAGTCCACCCACGGGTTTTGTGTGCATTTGGGCAGAAAATAACTTTTGCGAGGCACTAACGTCCCATATACATATGCCACCCCCGTCGGTAGCTGTGGCCAAAATATTTTTTGACATTGGATGGTACTTTACTATGTTCGCGGCCGAATTGTCTGTGGTTTTATAAAAAGTCAAAAATTTAGACGCGGCTAATTGCAATATGTTGATTGTACCATTAGCTCCAGCAACAGCCATTGTTTCGTCCTTCTGATCAAAATCGACGCACGTAATTCTGGAATTTATAGATGGGTACAATTTGCTGATGGCTTTGTTTTTGGTATCGTACAGAGCTATTTGTCCATTACTGGTACCGATCCCAATGGATTTTTTTGTAGTTTTTTGGAATACTACAGACGAAACGTCTTTTAGGGCTGTGATTGTATGAACCTTTTTAATGTTTTGACTGCTTTTGAGCGAAATTATTTCGGGCTGTGCTTGTTGCGAAAGAAACACAAGGTAGGAGTTATCTCTACACCATGACAGTGATGTTATTTTCGATGTCGATTGGGGTAAATAATGAAATTCCGTTTCGTCAACTGGACAACTGTAAAATTTCAGATCAGTTCCAGCAGATACGAACATCTAAAAAAATTAAATATTACACTTTTTGTTTCACATCGAAATGGCAAAATTACCTTCGTGGATGACGATGGCCAGATACTGTGAAATAAATAATATAATTTGGAATTTTGAGTTTCGCTTTTGACATTTTAGTGGGCGAACAGAAAAAAAAGAAAAATTTGACGTTTTTAAAGATCAAACATATTTTGTAATTACAATTAGGTAAAATTTCAATTTCCACATCTTTTACAAGAATAAAAAATTGGAAGGTAAGGAAAATAAGTCTCATAAGAAATTTTGTTTGTAATTTCTCTATGTACTTTGCAGTCCTCGAAGGAATAAGAAACTTACTGCGCAAATCAATTATCTAATTAGTTGTATAATAATCGACCTTTTCCCTGTAGTATACTAATGCATAATTAAATCAAAAGTGAAGATTACAAAAAGTTTAATTTTACATCAAAATAATTACAATACTGTTTATACATTTATACGTAATACCTAACTTATCAGTTATGCTCTTACGTACTTTACAAACTAAATTTAAATAATATTTTGTAAGAACTTTTAATGAATTTAAACGATAAAAAGTATAGATATCTAATAAGTTTTTTATAAAGTAAATTATTATTAGTGATGTGCACTTTTCTTACTGCATTTAACGACTTGTGCTATAATTATTTATCATTATGCAGCTGTAATAAATTACATTCGTTCACGTTTGGTTTCTCGTGAATAAGAGCGTATTCGTTTTTTTCCATAACTAAAGAAAACAATTTTATTTTTTTCAATTACTTATCGTTAGCCTAATAGTAAACGTTAAACATTAAAATTTATTCTCAATAACTTACATAAAAAAATAAATAGGCACCTGCTAAAATTGAACTGAACTACAAATTTAATTTATTCACTTGAATATTGGAGTATATTTGGTCTAATTTTAGTTTTTAATAAAATAAATTATTTTTTTATAAAGCTAGTCGAGACTTTTAGGTTCAGAAGTGAAAGTAGTGTAAAAGAACCATGACAGCGTATAGAAAATCTGCAGCTCATAATTTCTATAAAACCGCGCAAATTGCAGTGTATATTTAAAGTAGAACGTTTTATACGAAATTTCACAATTATTGTAAATTATTTTAAAATGAGGAAACCGTTGACTTTTTCCAGGGGCGGACTGAGGCCTTGGCAACCTAGGCATGTACCTAAAGCCCGTAATTTTTGGAGCCCGAAAATTAGGTTTTTAATTTTTTAATTTTTATAATTACTTTTTATTTTTATTTGAAAAATATTTTATCTGAAAAATAGGCCCGGAATTACAATGTTGCTTA